TCCAAATCCACCGATGTCACGCCGGACAGAGCCACCAGCATCTCTTTCACGAGCTGGAAGTCCGCTGCAGCCGTCACGCCTTCCAGCTGCAGACGGATTCTGTTCGTCTCTTCACCTGCGATCAGAAGCTCGGCCTCGTAACCCAGGTCATCTATGGCGGCGGCAAGCTGGACGTGAGAAATCACTCCAGCATCGTGCCTCACCTCGCACTCCTCCGTGGCGAGGGCTACTACGGCCTTTTGCACTCCATCCAGCTTTTTCAGCGAAGACTCTATGGAGTTTGAGCAAGAGGTGCACGTCATGCCCTTGATACGAAAACGGCTGATGCTCCCGCTCCGTTGACCGGCATCGTCCACAATTGCTTCCGCCTCGAACCCCGCGTCCTCGATCGCCTCCCGAATGCTTTCCTCCTGGATTCCACTTTCCCCGTGTAAGATTCAATGCCTTCCAATTCCACCGCTGCCCACATCCATCTTACTTCTGAGCTCCTAGCTGCCACGGTCCATCTGGCGGATTGCTAAATTGACCCTCTCACCACATGCAAAGTTTTGGAGCACCCCTCACTGCACACCTTTCAAGTCGTTTCCTACAACATTGCTACAAGCATCTTCTTGCCGTCCGCATTGCACCGCGTGCTGCGCGAACGATCCCCGCTTCACTGGTCCCGACGGAATTCTGAACAACACGGAGTGGGAGGAATTGTACCTGTACGAAGGCGGGCCTGTACACAACTTGAGCCCGGTTCTGCAATACTGACACCGTTGCTTCCTCGATGCCGGGCAACCTCTTCACGGCTTTCTCGATGGACCCCGCACACGCTGCGCACTCCATCCCTGTAACCTGTACACCCAATCAACACATACATATGAAATGACGACCCCGTGGAATCAATTGCCAAACCACACATGTCCCATTTGAACCAGCCCCACGCACGTTCTACCACTGGATCAGAAAGTCGAGCGGCGCCGCTAAACGTTGCTAGCACGATCCGCTTTCGGCCCCTGGGGTTCTCCTATGCAACAGACCTTTGAGGAATTCTGCTCCCATTCATCGCTCTCATGTTCAAGTGCTCATCACTGCTTTTCTCGCGAAATCCCCGACTTATTCCAGCGCCAAGCACTTTCACCACGACCGTTCCTACTGGAATTTAACAGGGACTCACAACAGAGATCTCCCCTCCTCCCAGGCCGGGCGATAACCTGCCCAGATATGGCGTAAACAAGAAGGCAAGAAAATCACTCCAAAACAACTCCACAACCACGCCACTCCGGCGTTTCAATGCCGCTGCTAAACCCGCACTTTGTGAGGGTTGCATTACAGACCTTCAAATTTGCTTTGCGAATCTCCGAGACGTCAACTTCGCCATGCAAGGGCGACAGCGGGTACCGCGGCATTGACGGATACCGAGTTGAAGACGACAAACTGCGCTCCAGCAAAACATCCTCCTTCTTCTTCTTTCTCCTCTCGCTCTCCGTCGCCGACCCCGTTCGAGGTGCAAGCACAACTTTCATCAGCGACTGCATCGCTCCACAACCACCTCAATCCAGCTCTCACGCTCTTCAACTCTCTTCTGCTCCCTCTCTCTCTCCCTCTTTTACGAGCCTCTCAAGAAATCCTCTACAACCTCTTCTACCTGCAATCACGACCGTCCCCGCTCCGAAGCTTACCGCAATTCTCACGCCTGCGCTCTCAATTCCCGCCCACGCTAATCCCAACGACACAAGGTCCTATTCAAACAAGCGGCTGATGCGACACCAGGTCCTCCCCACGTCACGTTCCCCGTCATGCAACTCAGACAGCAGCGCGAATAGGCGCAACACGAACCGTATCCAATTTCAATCCCTACGCTGACTCTACTCCACCACTCTCTCCCACCCCTCCTAATATACCTCACGAAATCGCTGCGCCGTCACCACGGAACGAATTCCTTGTGTCGCACTTTCATGGTGGATCCCAGGATCTCGAATAAG